GTCTTAATGATTTTGGTATTACAATTTTTTACCCTTGAACACAATATTGTCTTCAAAAGCCAATTCGTCTCTATGATTCCAGTATTCTGATACAGTCGTAGGGCAATTTCGTCTGTCGTCAGGCCATCCGTTAGAAATGACACTAATAAGCGTTTGTAACTGTGCATCATTTTGCGTTGCTGTTTGAATTTCCTGCAATTTTAAATCACTTATCGGTAGTGATTTCAGTACAGTGTGTACATGTGTTTCTAAGCCGTCAATCAGATTAGGAAAAGTGTCAGTTACGTAATTCCGGCTAAGAGCATCTCCAAGCGGAATATCTTTACCTCTACAGTGAATAACATCGAGGTCAAAATCTTGAAGTTGTAATAACATCCGTTGTAACCTAGGCGGGGCACTATAAAGTGGTTTTCTCATAATAGATACTATCGGTTTACAGTCAGATTCGACAACCGTGCGCCGTCCGTAAATATAATGCTTAAATCTAGTGCATCCAAATAATATTGCCAGCATCTCTTTTTCTATTTGTGCGTATCCTGTCTCGGTCAATGTCAGTGTTTTTGAAGCGTATGCAATTGGTTTACCATTTTGTAAACAACAAACACCAAGACCTTTGGACGAAGCATCCAATTGTAATCTAACAGGCTTCGATGAATCATAGAAACTGAGGACAGGTGCTTGTGTAATCACTTGTTTAACCTTGTCAAAAGCGTCAGATTGGGCTGAATCCCATCTGAACTCTACGTCATTGCGTAATAACTCTCGCATCGGGCTCGTTATCTCCGAGAGATTTTGTGAGAATTTTGTCAAGTATGTAATCATACCCAGCAGGGTTTCAAGCTCAGCACGATTTGCAGGATTTTTCACATCGATAATTGCGCTAATTTTCTCAGGGTCAGGTTTCAGTCCATCAGCACTGATCACGTGCCCGAAATATTTAACCTCTGTTAGACCTATTTTCAGTTTGTCAGGGTTGAATCGTAAACCGGCTGCCTTTGCTCGGTCGAGTACGTTCTTAAGGTTTCTGTCATGTTCTATGCGTGTGCTTCCAAACACTAATAAGTCGTCAATTATTGACGTCACACCCTGTAAACCTTCAAATGTCTCGTCAATTTTCCGTTGGAAAATGTCTTGAGAACTTCTTATGCCCATAGGAAGTCTTAAATATTTGTACCGTCCAAATACCGTGTTAAATGTCGTAAGTGACGATGAGTAGTCGTCTAATTTAATTGACCAGTAACCTTTGGTCGCGTCTAGTACACTGAAGTATTTAGCGCCATGCAATTTTGACGTAATGTCGTCAATAGTACGTAATGGATAATACGGCCTTTGTATATTTTCATTCAATGCTTTGGGGTCAAGACAGATTCTAAGCTTACTGGTTGAAGGTTTTTCAACACATACTAGTGAATTTACCCAGTTTGTAGGTTCTGTAACCTTACAAATAATTTGTTTTGACTCCATTGAGTCGAGCTCTTTTTTAAGCTTATCTTTGAGTCCAAAAGGTACTTTTCTAGGTGGACAAACAACTGGTACAGCATTTTCCTTCAAATGCAATGAACATGTTCCAGGAAATAGCCCTATCCCATGAAACAATTCTTTGTACTCTCTAAGTACAGTGTCCTTACTAAGGTCAGATGCGTCAATAGATTCAATCTTATTGACCGAATACGTTAATCTTAACAGATCTAAATCTATAGATGTTTTGAGGCTTAACAGCGGGGTAGCAGAACTCTCAACTACATAAAATTCGGAACACACTGATTTGTTATTGTATTTACAGTGTAACCATAATTTTCCAAGCACTGGTAATCGGTCACCTGTGTACGAAGTTAACCTTGCTTTGGAGGCTTCCAAAGGGTGTTTTATTTTCAGTTGCCTAAATATGTGATTTTGGAGGCAATTTATTTGTGAACCTGTATCAATTTTGCAATTAATATTGGTAAACTTATCTTGTGTGCCAATCAAAACATTTACAAAAACTTGATCAGGAGAAGATGAAAAAGAATTTACCGTGTGAACAAAGAATTCTTGGTTATTCTCGCCGTCAGATTCACACACGTAATCCACAGTGTCACCTTCATAATGTAACTCGTGCACAGATTTAAATTTACATTGTTTTGAAAAATGATTTAATCGTCCACATTTGAAACATGTTTGTCCCTGTGCTGGACATTCACTAGAATTGAAATGTTTATTTCCACATCTGTCACATTTTTTTCTATAATCTTCAAATCGTTGTTGTCGTCGTGGTTGTTGTTGTTGCTGATGAGGTGGCATCTTCCGGTCTCTCTGGTGTGTATCTCTTCCGTTGCCTCGTCTCCATTGTCGATTTATCGCATCAACAGACTGTTGAGATGTCGTAGATCCGCTAGCGATTGCTTGTGCCTGAGACTTACTCATTTCGTACGTATGAGCAACATCTACGCATTTTTCAAGTGTTAGATCTGAGCCTTCCACAATCAGTTTTTCTCTGACTTTGCTAGATCTTACTCCAAAAACAATATGGTCGCGAATAAGATCTTGTTGCATGCCCACAGGATAATCACAATCTTTGATTAGCGTTTTCAGTTCTGTAACGAATTGTTCAAACGGTTCGTTTTCCTGTTGTGCTCTTGATTTAAAAAGATATCTGTTGTATATTATGTTACTTTTTGGTTTGCAATATTCTTCGAATTTATCATAGTATGATTTAAGTTTCTTTCTCTGATCGTTTGATAAGTCCCAAGTTGAGTATATTTGTCGGCCCTTTTCACCGACCCATAACATCAAATAGTTACATTGAATTTCTTCCGTTTTACTTGCCAACGGCCCTTTAAACATGAATTCTGAATGTTCTTTGAATCTCTTAAACGCACTGTTTAAGTCCTTCGAATCCCAGTCCATACGCGGATTTTGTTGGTGATTATTTTCCATATTTCCTATAACTCCGTTATAAATATACAATTATAAAGCGTTTTCTGTAAAAATTATAATCCGTTAACTTCTGACACCATGTTGTATTATGGGTATATTTATTAATATGTACACAGAGCGTGCACTTGTAATATATAACACAGACACGTGTTACTAGTTCTATCGTTTAATGATAACTCAATATTCCAAGTATATAAGTGGCGGGAAGATAATGGACATGCGCATTACAGTATGAGATATTATTAAGATGAAACATATGTTTACAATATACAACAAGCAGTATATACCTTAAAATGAGATTTTAGTCATAACCTTATAATATTATAAGGTTATGACTATAAAATCTCATTTTAAGGTCACTATCAAGCAGTATATACCATCCAAACACTGTGTGGGCCCCCTGTGATTTACATGGGGTTTAGCAGTCAATGTTTAATGTGTTTTTTCGTCTGTTATATATCTCATTTTTTAGCTCACCTGAGCTTGCTCAGGGTGAGCTTTTAGGATCGGTGAATGTCCGTCGTCCGTCGTCCGTCGTCCGTCGTCCGTCCGGCCGTCCACAATTGCTTGTGAACACTCTAGCGGTCGCATTTTTGCCTCAATCATCATCAAACTTGGTCAGGATGCTTATCTAGTTGAAAGCTCGGATGAGTTCGAACATGGGTCATCTCGGATGAAAAACTAGGTCACAAGAGCTAAAAATAGAAAAACCTTGTGAACACTCTAGAGGTCACATTTTTGACCCAATCATCATCAAACTTGGTCAGGATGTTTGTCTAGGTGATAGCTCGGATGAGTTCGAACATGGGTCATCTCGGATGAAAAAGTAGGTCACAGGAGCTATAAATAGAAAAACCTTGTGAACACTCTAGTGGTCACATTTTTGAACCAATCATCATCAAACTTGGTCAGAATGCTTGTCTAGTCAATTGCTTGGATGAGTTCGAACATGGGTCATCTCTGATGAAAAACTAGGTCACAGGAGCTAAAAATAGAAAAACCTTGTGAACACTCTAGTGGTCACATTTTTGACCCAATCATCATCAAACTTTGTCAGGATGCTTGTTTAGATAATAGCTCAGATGAGTTCGAATATGGGTCATCTCGGATGAAAAACTAGGTCACCGGAGCTATAAATAGAAAAACCTTGTTAACACTTTAGCGGTCACATTTTTGCATCAATCATCATCAAACTTGATCAAAATGCTTGTCTAGGTGATAGCTCGGATGAGTTCGAACATGGGTCATCTCGGATGAAAAACTAGGTCACAGGAGCTAAAAATAGAAAAACCTTGTTAACACTCTAGTGGTCACAATTTTGACTCAATTGTCATCAAACTTGGTCAGGAAACTTGAATAGGTCATTGCTTGGAATAAATCGAACATGGGACATCTCGGATGAAAAACTAGGTCACATGAGCTAAAAATAGAAAAATCTTGTTAACACTCTAGTGGCTACTGTTGTGATCCAAATATTCTGTTAATTGGTCTGAAAGTTTTTTTTGATGATTTCTAAGTCAAGATCAAACATGGGTCATCTTGGATGAAAAACTAGGTCACACCGCCCAAATATGGAAAAACCTTGTTAACATTCTAGTGGTCACATTTTCGACTCGATTATCATCAAACTTGGTCAGGATGCTTGTCTAGGTAATTGCTTGGATTAGTTCGAAATCGCATGTGAAACTAGGTCACCGGAGCTAAAAATAGAAAAATCTTGTTAACACTCTAGTTGCTACTGTTTTGATCCAAGTATCCTGGAAATTGGTCTGAAAGTTTGTTTTGATGATTTCTAGGTCAAGTTTGAATATGTGTCACCTGGGTAAAAAACTAGGTCGCACTGCTCAAATATGGATAATCCTTGTTAACACTGTAGTGGTCACATTTTTGACTCACCTGTCATGAGACTTGGTCAGAATGCTTGTCTAGGTAATTGTTTGGATGAGTTTGATAATTCAGGTGAGCGATCTAGGGCCATCATGGCCCTCTTGTTTAATTTTCTCTTACAAGTGAAAGACATTCGACTGACACATAGCTACTTATTTTTAGCCAACAAAGGATGCTAAAATGTTATTATATATTACCTTTGACACACACCATTTATTGCCATTCTTCCTAGACTAATTCTATCTCCATTAAATTTTATTTCAAAACGAGTAAAGCTACAAATTGATCGTTTCCATTTTTAATAACTTTCCGAATAGTCCCGATTTGTGATTTTGCGGTGTAACATTTCCTATTTTCAATAAATCATACTTGATAGTTTATTCTAAAAACATGATTTTCAAAAAATTGAAAACGAAACTAGAAAATTGCACAGGCGTATCTAGCGTGGTCAAAATCGAAATTACACCTATCCCCTTTAACAACTGAAAAGTTCTAAATATGTCACTGTCAAAGAAAAATAATACATATCCGTATCGCCACATATTACATAGTACATGTAGGTTAAATAGAAACTAAATTTTTTTAATATTTGTAATATAAGTCAAACTCAGACCTGTATATATTCAAAATATTTAGACGTAATCTGCGGATTTGAAGCTATTCTTTACATTAGTCAAATCCGCTATTATAACCTCTTAAGATATCTATTTAAAAGTCCGTAGCGAATGAATTGTTCATAACAATTTGAGAAATAGCTCTAACTTTTTTACAGTGCAAACACGTACAGAAATATATTCTAAATATGTAATTCCATTATCAATCAAATTATGAATTGAACTTCCCAAACCATTTATGATGCACCAACTCTTTCAAATTTTAAAACATTGCTAAAAAATCATTTAAAACCAACAGTTGTTCCTAACTTAGCGGTGGACGTACTTCCTCTGTCTTTCATGCAAGAATAAGAAACGAAAGTAGTAACTTAAATGCAGCCTTGTACAATAAAATCCATTATGTGACTGTGGTAGTGGGGTGGAGGATGCAGAGCACTATGTTTCCCACTGAACAGAGACGCAACTTATTTATAGCTACTAGACTTTATCATCCGCTTAGTAACGAAAAACTTCCAGTTGGAAACCCACGTACAACTTACTGAATGAATTTGTACTTCACGAAAAATGAAAGTTTATTAAACATTCTGATAGATATAGATATTTTATTCAGAGTATGTCTCTCTTACAAGTTTCAGATCAGCCTCGAGACTGTTTTTTTGCAAATTTTGCTAAAAGCAGCGACCACTCAAATACCCCAATAGAGGGAAGGGAGTCTATATTTTGTATTAAAGACGGATTTCGAAACAGAAAATGCGTTTTGGTCTTGATTAAGTGGTAACTATCAACATCGTTCGCGAATGCAAACAAATACGCTACAATTTAATATTGCCAATTTGACAAAAAGTATTCAAATTGCATGAAAAACAAGAGCCGGTCGAACCGGGTGATGCTCCCCGAATAGGTTTTGGACACAGGAAGGTATACCTCTTGTAGTGTCAGAGTTATGTCACTGACAAAGTGTAAAAATAACCCAAATGTTGTGCATTTTTGTGAAATAGTTGTAAAATCCAACTTCAAATCACGAAGTTATGGGCCGGACATGATTTTGCTGCAAGGTCATGCTGTGACCTTGACCTTCAAGGTAGCAATCCAAATGCTGCATGCGACACGTCGATTTAATATGGTGATCATCTCTGTGAAATAGTTGTTAAATCAGACTTCAAATAACAAAGTTATGGGCCGGACACGATTTTGCTGCAAGGTCATGCCGTGACCTTGACCCTCAAGGTAGCAACCCAAATATTGCACGCGACACTTCGTCTTAATATGGTGATCATTTCTGTGAAATATCTTTAAAACCCGACTTCAAATAATGAAGTTATGGACCGGACACGATTTTGCTGCAAGGTCATGCTGTGACCTTGACCTTCAAGGTAGCAACCCAATTGTTGCGCGTGACACGTCATCTCAATATGGTGATCATTTCTGTGAAATAGTTTTAAAAGCCGACTTCAAATAACTAAGTTATGGGCCGGACACGATTTTGCTGCAAGGTCATGCCGTGACCTTGACAATCAAGGTAGCTACCAAAATGTTGTGCATGACACGTCATCTCAATATGATGATCATTTCTGTGAATTATTTTTAAAATCCGACTACAAATAACAAAGTTATGGGCCGGACACGATTTTGCTGCAAGGTCATGCCGTGACCTTGACCTTCAAGGAAGCGACCCAAATGTTGCGCGCGACACGTAATCTCAAAATGATGATCATTTCTGTGAAATATTTTTAAAATCCGACTTCAAATAACAAAGTTATGGGCCGGACACGATTTTGCTGCAAGGTCATGCTGTGACATTGACCTTCAAGGAAGCGACCTAAATGTTGCGCGCGACACGTCGTCTAAATATGGTGATCACTTCTGTGAAATATTTTTAAAATCAGACTTCAAATAACAAAGTTATGGGCCGGACACGATTTTGCTGCAAGGTCATGCCGTGACCTTGACCTTCAAGGTACATGTAGCAACCCAAATGTTGCGCGCGACACGTCGTCTTAATATGGTGATCATTTCTGTGAAATATTTTTAAAACCCGACTTCAAATAATGAAGTTATGGACCGGACACGATTTTGCTGCAAGGTCATGCTGTGACCTTGACCTTCAAGGTAGCGAGCCAAATGTTGCGCGCGACACGTCGTCTCAATATGGTGGTAATTTCTGTGAAATATTTTTAAAAGCTGACTTCAAATAACTAAGTTATGGGCCGGACACGATTTTGCTGCAAGGTCATGCTGTGACCTTGACCTTCAAGGTAGCGAGCCAAATGTTGCGCGCGACACGTCGTCTCAATATGGTGGTAATTTCTGTGAAATAGTTTTAAAATCCGACTTCAAATAACAAAGTTATGGGCCGGACACGAATTCGGGACGTACGTACTACGGACTGACGGGCAACCCGACGACTATATGCTCCCCCGAAATTTTTCGGGGAGCATAATAAAACCAGACATATTCAGCTTCACGAAATTGTTTAGTTTGGAAAAATCGATAAAGTGATGATAGAGAAATAAGTCGAAACATTTACTCAGGTGAACTCGATTTACACTTTTTTAGTTTTGAGGGGCTATTTCCGGTGAACGCTGGACAACAGTGCAAAGGAAAAGAAAATGCAGGGATTTTGTGACTTTGTGTAAAACTTTCTATTTCTTACAGTTTGTGAACGTTGTCAAATTGTATATCGTAGAGCAAAATAGATTAAAAATCAACTTACACCATTTTCTACCAAATATGATACGAATAGAAACTGTAAACACAGGTTTTACCACGAAAATCGATTATGTCGCAAAGAGAAATTGTATATAGTTACTTTTATCTCTTTTTTTTATCTTTTATAATTCTCTTTTTTTTTCTTTTCTCTTTTCTCATCGTGTGTTAGTATTTTTTCTACCAGTGGGGAACATTTGACTGGCACATAGCCCAACAAAGAATGCTAAAATATCATAATTACCTTTGCCAAAACACTAATTCCATTAAACGAGTAGAGCTGCAGACTGCATGATCGTTTCATCCGAACAGTCCCGATTTGCTTAAATATTGATTTTGCGGTTTAACATTTCCTATTTTCAAAAAATCATACTTGATAGTTTATTTTGAAAAAAAAATGATTTTCAAAGAATTGAAAACGAAACTTGAAAATTACACAGGCGTATCTAACGTGGTCAGAATCGAATCTAGACCGTAACCCCTTTAACTTAAAAAAAATGGAAACTGATCATTTCGAAATCTGTAACAAAGAAAGATAATACCTATCGACGCATATTCCATAGTACATGTAGGTTTAATAGAAACTATTTAATATTTGTGACATAAGTCAAATCAAGACCTGTATATAGTCTAGACATTTAAAGCAAGAGGTGCAAATTCCGCATTTCCTTAAAGTGACATTATGCTCATATTTTCATAGTCAAGTTGAGCTGAATTGACTTTATATTTCAAAAGATTGACTGTCAAAATGGTATTTGTCCAACAGTTGATATTGGTAAATTTACGAATAGAATTATAAATCTGCCTTAAATTCAAAAAGACTGCCCCACTCTTTTTATAAACTTATCGTTTCAGGTAAATTCTAATGGATCTTTACAGAAATTTCATTTGGATCTGTGTGTTATTCATTGTTTATACGAACCTCATCATTAAATTGAAAGGATTTGTGGCAAAATATAAACTTATTTTAATCTTATCCGTTCACTCACTATATACCCTTGGATGGGCCTAATGTCACTTTAAATTTATACATGTGTAAAAGAATTCTTGATTTTACTTAAAATGTACCAGATAATATTTATGTAGATTTTGCACAATGTGGTCGCCAGATTTATTATTATTCATGTTTCAGGTCCAAACAATGGGGACAATCAATACTATATCAATATTTATTTCAATCTAGCCTCATTTTCATTTTCCAAGTAAAGAAAAGAAAACCTTTTCCAATCCAAATTGTATTCTATTAATCGTCGATTCTTTTATATTCAGAGTCTATTTCATCTATAATGCACTCGAAGTAGCAAAAATGTGAAAAATGAGACATGTGAAATTACAGGTTATTTTAACAGTGCTGAGTACATATTAGGCGCAGCGTGCACACGGCGGCTAGTAGAAATGCTCTCTTTCATTCAGCAATGGGGGGAAATTTTAGTAAAGCGCTTTTTTCTGTTTTAACAAAATTACACTGTTTTCAGTTTCTCTAATAAAAATAGCTTTCTGATGCACCGAGCTTTATTGAATTCAAATGAATGTTAAACTTAAGTGATAGAGCTATGTTTGAATATCATATTCTTTTCAGTTTTATCTTTTTTTATTTATCTGAAAAATAACATGTCACTGAGCCAGCTTACAGGGAACGAGCAGTATGACTAAAATACGCAACGCACAACGGGTGCAACGGACATAATTATCATTATTTTTAATATTTTTATTGGCAAAATGGACGTATTAATTCTTGGCGCAAAGATGAAAATTTTCTGTAAAAGGAACAATTTATGATTATAAATTACAATTATCAACCTAAAATAAATCATATATATTCAATGTAGTATTTACATAAAAGTGTGTTGTAGTTTTCAATAGAAATCTTTCTTTGTTGCGAAATGGACCCATTCGGGATCTCAGCGCAGTGCAACAGAGCTAAAAGTGCACAAGGAATGTAACTTTGAACACTTGTAAAAAAAGTTGTGCACAGAGTTATAAGTGCAACTTTTTTTCTGACATATACATATACCAGACCTATTCAATGAACAAAGATTCAAAACTTTTGCAATTAGTTCTGGGTCATACATGTATTTTATTTTTACTACACTAATGTATGAATAATAATAATCAAACTAAAATTTATGCTATGTATTGAATATAATATCATAATGGAAGTTTGTTTTTAAATTCGATAGGAATACGTGTTATTGTTGTTGTTTCCTTCTTTCTTTTTTTAATGTTTTGAGGAT